CCCCCCCCCCCCCCCCCCCCCACACACACACACACACACACAAGGAAACCTGAACACAGACAGACCATGTCCTGGCCAATTGAAATTGGAAGCCTGGATTTGTATGAATGGAGCTCGTTGTCTGTCGGCTACAGCTGTGTAATCACACTAATGACGGGTTTGCTTTACACACACACTTTGTGTTATTTTTATTTTTATTTTTTATAAGTACAGAACGCAAATAAATGTAAACACAGACTGTGAAATACATGAGTTTGAATAAAGGACAAGAGAAATCTGTGGCATGTCACCACATGCTCATGGGACTCATATTCAACTCACATATGTACATGCATACACAACACTTTCACACACAGACACACACTGACATGTTAAAAGTGCATGTGATGTGATCCTGGGTGGTCTATAGGCTTTCAGAGGCAGCCATGGGTCGGTCAGTAAAGAATAATCTACATTTATATTTTAAGTTACCGGAAAGTAAAAGTGCTACTGTAGATCAAAAAGGAAAATGTTTAAATATAAGTTGGTCAAGGAAAAGGCCAAGGGAATATAAAGTTGGCCTGTGTTTGGACAAACTGTGCTGCAAAAGGTCACAGTTTCATTTTTTGCATAGGTATTTAATTCTGAATTAAATTAATACAAAGTTTATTTCTAAAGTACATTTTTTCATCAATTCTTGATGACCGAAGTGCTGTTCAAAAAACTAAATAAAGAAAATCTGCTTAGAGCTAAATGTCAGGGAAAACTAAAATGTTTTCTGCATAGATTCAAAGTCTGAGAAGCTCTAAATTTCAAAGGCAGCCTGTTCCAGGGGGTAGGGGTCATCACTGTAAAACCTTTTTTGTTGTGTTTGGATATTAGAAAGTCCAACATATACTGTAGAGCCAAATTAGTCTAAAAAAAGATTCACAAACTTGTTCAACAAGATTTGTAAGTTATTTAGCCTCATAAACACAAACTAGTTTGTGAATCTCAGAGCTCAGGCTGGAGTGTGACGACGCAGATATTCAGACAAATAAAGTGACCGTGTTAAGATGATTAAAAACCAACAATAAGATGTTCAACTGGATCCTGAAAGAAGAAGAACCCCAAGAGGGCAGTCCAGGCATGATGTGGTCAAAAGATTTCTATCCCATCAAAAGACAAACTGCTGAACAGCTAGGCACATCGGTGTTGGCCGATTATCCAGGTGGGCGGCACGGTGGCACAGTATGGTAGAGCTGCTGCCTCTCAGCGAAAAGGTCACCAGTTCAAATCCTGGCCGGGGGCCTTCCTGAATGGAGTTTGCATGTTCTCTCTGCGTTTTTTTTCCCTGGGACTCCGGTTTCCTCCCACAGAGCAAAAACATGCATGTTAGGCTGATTGGTAACTCTAAACTGTCCCTAGATGTGACAGAGAGTGAATGATTGTTTGTCTCGGTGGTCTCTATGTGTCCCTGTGATGGACTTGCAGCCTGTCCAGGGTGTACCCCACCCCTCGCACAGTGATTGTTGGACATGGGCACCAGTGACTCTCGCAACCCAATAAAGAAAGAAGCGGGTAAAAATGGATGGATGGATGGATGGATGGATGGATGGATGGATGGACCAAAGACATAAATTACTGTCTTGAACTGATCTGGTAAAAATAGTAGGTCCTAGTTTTACCAAGGTGTCATAGTTGGAAGAAGCTTTTCTTCTAAACAAATCATTTTCAATCTTTACTTGAGGTTCTAACTCATCATGTTGCTTCCTTCAAGTTCTTGATTTTGATATTTGCTTGTCAATACCTTTTGAAACAACACCAGGCTTTGTCTTTTCACAAACTCGGTCAAATCATTTACAATCCAGTTTTGGATGTTTACCTTACTTGCATGTTTAGTGAGACTAATCTGAGCACTGACCTTTTTAATAACTACTGTATTATCACTGCACATAAGGATACAACCTTCACCTGCAGAACTGACTTCATGGAGAAAAAATTGACTTCTGTAAACTGCTTGATGCTGATTGTAGTGAATTCTGCACATTAATATTTTTGCCACAATTTTTTAAATTTGAATCTACAAAAATCTCCCAATGTTTATATAGAACTCAGCTTGATTTCTTTAAAACTTTAAGATAAAAAGGCAGTTAGAGTCTGTAATTCATTAGGGATATTGCACTTTTGAACAGTGATTCTAAGCTGCAGTGGAGGCACAAAACAAAAATCTTACACTTTGTGTTGTGTTTTGTAAATCTCAGTCACACGGGGTTTAATATAACTAGATTTAGAGGAAGTGATCTTATCACATGGCAGGTCCAGAAGTGGGAGTGCTGCTGAAACCATTACATGTTATCAGTTTTCATGTGGTAATTGAGTCTTGTGATGACTCCCGTGACTCGAGTGGATTAAAAGGTGGTATTGTGTTGATCTGGGTAGGAGTGGACTGGGACTCTTATTTCCCCATAATTTGTACAGTGGATAATGTCTGTTACTGATAAGAAGTGTAATATTTACAGTATTTTAAACAAGAGGTATACAAGAGGATTTATTTTAAACATTTGATGCGGTTATTAGATACATTTAAGCAAATATGTTCTTGTTTTTATTATTTTACCTTGTTTTATATGGCACCTTGATTTGATTGTAATTATAACAGTGATTTTTTATTATAATTGCTATTTATTGTTGTACATTGTTGTCTGTCAGTACAGGTCTGTACTGAAAAAGAGTCTTTGTGACTCAGTGAGACTAACCTGCATAAATAAAGCTTGAATGTATGAACAAATTCTAAGTCTGGTTTTAAAAGGTTTTCTATTACAGAATGTTGAAAGTCGTATATAGACTGCTACAATTTGATTGTTTTTGTTTGTTGCCCACAAATCGGGCCATTTTGGGATCTAAAGTACCAGCAGGACTCAAGGCTGACAAGAAAAAGAAACTGTCTTCCTGAAAAAAATCAACAATTGTGGCTAATCTGAATCTGACTCCATCGGTTGGCCTTGAAGCTGGCCGACTTACCAAATTTCTCCTGGGATATGTGTAAACTAAGTTAAAGCTATGTCTATCGCAACCCCCCCCCCCCCCCCAACCCCAAGAACTTCTGTGAAGTCTTATCAGAGCTGTACCGGCTGACACCAACATCTTATCAGGACTATGGACTATCTGAAAGAGCTTCATGAACAAATCTCGCCGTCTTGCTGTCAAATGCATATGTGTCTATAAATGTGCTTCCTGGCAGATTTTCTTTTTTTTTAATGTCTTAAATCATGTCCTGATAAGGACAAAGTGTGAAGAGATCTTTTTTTTTTTTGTAATACCATTATCCTATCCTTATGGCGTTTTCCCCTTTTCTATCTAAAAAATATTCTGAAAAAGGATAAAGGGACCGTGCTCTCAAGGAGCAGCAGCAACGTGCACTCCGCCCATCCTTCGGATGACTGTACGAACATAATCTCACTATATTTCAGTACAATGATAATAAAGCTCATTCTGATTCTGATTGTTGTATGAATTATTCAGAGATCTTTTTATGAAGCTTTTTAATTTAATGGTATATTTTAATGTGGCGTTAGGTAAAGTAAATAGATGCAAAGAGACTCACAGTGATGTCCTTGCCTGCCCAGTTACACTCCTCTCTCCAGTCAACAGGGGCGGGCCAGTAGATCTGAAACAGGCAAAAGTCAGACAAAAACATCAAGTAGTTAAAACCCCTAAATAGTGTGATTTTCATGCTGCTTGACCAAGTACATATTTTAAGAAAGTTGTTTAACAAACAAAAAGAAAAGGTTCTCATTTAGTCTCTCCTGATTTGATGTCTCACTGGTCTCCTGTCCACTTCCACCTCTCCCACCTGCTTCCTTGTGTACACTTCTGATGGCTTCATCCCACCCACGCTCGACCACATAGCACAACTGACTTCAACCATAGTGAACCTGCTCACCCAGCCATAAATCAAACTCACCCATATACATAGCTAAAGCCAACAAAAGTTTCAAATCTTACACACCCAACATGTAATTTACTCCACACAGATGTGGACAGCTGTTTCCAGTGGGCTATATTTTGGTTGTAAAACTATAGTTCCGTGTGACACTACACACGCTCAATGTTTGAAGTAAATGGTCCACACTTATATAGTGTGGAGCTAGAATATAGAGTTTGTCTTGTCTATTTTTACACGCTTTATACCATACTTTTATTTTCTCACCTACACACAAGTATAAGTACATACATGTGGGCATTGGGGTGTATGGTTTCTTGTTTAAAAACCTTATGTGGATGTTGTGGATTAATCTCCCATCCATCCAATTGGAAGATGAGCACTTTGCCTGACAAGTATTTGGTTTAACGACAGTTTTACTGTAAAGGAAAATGCTCAGTCACGGTCTCATTTTAATTATAACAATGACAAACTTTCTTTTATAAACACCTTTTATTTAGCTCTTTATACCATTCAATCACTCACTTATTGGTCTTGTTTCTTGGGATCTATCATGATGTGTGTTTTTGGCATTTGGTTTTGGTTCAGTGTCTTTGTTTCTCCTCTGGGCCCGCCCACTCACACCTGATCCTTGTCTCTGCATAGGTGTTGGTGGTTCTGATATTTAATTTTTGGCTTTATATTCCCTGGGTTGAGTTTGGTTCTGCAGCACGGTGGCGCAACTGGTAGAGCTGCTGCCTCTCAGCGAGCAGGTCCTTGGTTCAAACCCCGGTCCAGGGGCCTTTCTGGGTGGAGTTTGCATGTTCTCTCCGTGCATGCGTGGGTTTTCTCCGGGTGCTCCGGTTTCCTCCCACAGACCAAAAACATGCATGTTAGGCTGATTGGTAACTCTAAATTGTCCCTAGGTGTGAGTGAGAGAGTGAATGGTTGTTTGTCTCATTTGTCTCTATGTGTCCCTGTGATGGACTTGCGACCCGTCCAGGGTGTACCCCGCCCCTCGCACAGTGATTGCTGGACATGGGCACCGGCGACCCCCGTGACCCAAAATGGAATAAGCGGGTAAAGAAAATGGATGGATGGATGGAGTTTGGTTCGGCGTTGTACACACCTATTGTGTCCATCTCGGCTCTGTTGTCGTATGAATCCCTACGAGTTCTGCTAGTAGGTTTGCTGCCACAGCAGTTTTTAAATAAAATCAGTTTAGCTTTTTACAATGCGAGCCCTATCTTTCTGCACTTTGGGTCTCGACCAAATGCTTAATCATGGGTCAGACACTGTAGAGTGTCATATGAACATGATGTCCATCTGTGAAAGAAATCCATACTTCTAAATATCTCCCTTCTTTTTAGTCCTCGTGAATAATTTCTAATAAGCAAACTTTATGGTTTTGGTTGTAATTCATTTCACGGCCTTATTTGTTAGAATTATTAAGCAGCAGTATAACAGAACACTGTGAGACTGTTCGGACACATTTCTTTATCATAGGATTAAGTATTTGCACATAAAAGCACAACAAATATATCAACATAATTGCTTGTTTTATCTCATAATGTTGAGAAATACTGAGCACATGAGAAGTGTCATCAGCTTCCTCTTGATTCATCCTTTAAAACTGAAAATCATGGATGTTCAAGTAAATGGCTCCGTAAATTTCCCTATCAAATCATCACATTTCCTGTAGTCTCTTATATCTTGCAGAATAGCAGCTTTACCTTGTGCTCTTGTTTAGCAATGTTGTCCAGTGAGAGTGACAGCAGGAAGTTCTTGGCCCCCACAAAGAGTCGCCCCCTCTCTTCGTCCAGCAGCATGGCGCTGAAGCAGCAGGAACGCTCAAGGTCAAATCGCCGAACTCCATGAAACTGTTGTAATTCTGAAAAACCACAACAAAACATCCCAAGTGTGTTTACCATTCAACCCTGTATTATTTCCGTCCAGTAGTTTTACATTAACTGGCAATACATGTGACTTTACTGTTAAAGTGTTCTCAGAAGGATTTATTAATTGGATTCTTTCATCTTTAGTTACAATTTAATACAAAATCAGTTTACCTATAATGTTGGACAAAAAATAACATTATTTCAGGTAATATACACTGAATTTTGAGAGAAGTTACTCATATTTTTTTATATTTTGTTTCCAGAATGCCACACCTTTTTTAACGATGTAAACAATCCAACATGAAAATGAAAAAATCCAGACTTTGTGAAGAAACAAAATAAATCTCTGAACCTTGATTTAAAAAGTCTGGTCTTTTTATGCAAACCTTAACATATCTCTCCATGCTAATGCATGCACTATTATGAACATTTGACAAGTTAAAGACAAAATAATGCCTTTGAGGTAAGACTGAGGTATATTTAGTTAGATAAATTAGAATATTACAAATACTTTGATCATCTTTAAAATAAATATACATAAATAAAGGGAGGGTCAAGAGACTGACAAAACTTTACATGTATACAGTTTTTGTGACACTATCCACAAACTTAAAGCCTCCTCACACTAATAACAAATGATGACTTAAGAAAGACTTTAAGCTCAAACTATTGATACCAAAACACTTTTATTCTATACTGATATTTAAATCAAAAGTCGTCTGGTTGCCTGCAGTGCTGCTATAGTCATGTGGTTGATAAACATGATTACAACATCATTTGAGTTTACTTAAATAACATTTCAAAACTGTGTCCTCAACACATAAATCTCTGACAGTACTGGTTTCAGTGGAAAATATGAGTGTCTTTCACGTTACCAAATTGGCAAAAACAAATTGTGGAGGAACAGAGCCCAGGAAAATCTAAGTTCTTTTTGTAAATCTGAGCTTCAACAGTCAAACCAAGCCAAAGGAAGGAAAAAAGGCTTTCGACTGGAGAAGTCGTAAAAATAAGCTTCCACCTCTGGTGTGATAGTTTAAACCAAGAGTTTGAGAACAAATGAATAAAGTATTTTTCATTTAAACTTTTAGCAGACTTTATTAGCCTGTTATTGTTCAAAATGAAGGCTCGTAATAGCTGTGTGCATGACATCAGGGGCTTAATTAATCAGTCTTAATATACTGAGGATCAAATAAACGTGGGCCTAACAAAGACGTGTGATAAATTACAAATGACAGATGCTTCAATCTAATAAAATATGAGTGATCACATGGGTAAAGTTTAACAGAATCCAGGTATATTTATGTTTAAGTTGCTGTTAATGTACAAGGAGCACATACAAGCAAACAAATGAAAGACCCATGAAGTAGGAAATGTTGGCAGCAATGACTAGCTTCATAATAAATTTGTCCATTTCTTTCCTGGTGGACTTGGAGTTATGATTAGTTGATTAACAAATTAATAATGGTTAAAAAAAAAATTTCAAAAAGTAAAACACTGGAAAAATGTATGATACTTTATTAATAAATTCCTCTCCAGTTTCCAGTGAAGGAATAAGTTAGGCTTCTGGACAGTCGGAGAGCTAGTATTAATAAGGAATCTAACAGATTAAATATAAGAATGTAAGTTAATTAATCATAATGTTCCAAATTAAATAAATAAATACAAATAAATGAATGCAAGTTTGCTTAGTCATAATAGGAAGTAATGAGGGATGTTTAAACTATTAAATAACACCATTGCAGTATGTAACACCAGTAAATATTAGTTGTAATCAATTAGTTGGTTTGGGCAGTTTTGTTTAAACTGAATCAGAAACGATGAGTTGTTTTTCTTTGAGCTGCTCGTTTCTTCACGGGTCACTACAGTGAGTGAACTCACATGACATGCTTATCCTGGATGCCCTTCCTGACACAACCTGGGCTCAAACCTGAAGCCTCAGGACTATATACACAGTAGCAGTGACCCTAGAGACACCACAGCCCAGTATCAATATTTTTACATCAATAAATCAGTAGCCAGTTGTAGATCAGCTACACTAAGATGGAAGGAGGATCTGCAGTGGAAGTGGTCTCCAGCTACAAGTACTTGGGTGTGTACCTGAATGACAAACTCAGCTGGGGCAACAACACTACACTATCAGCCTGATCAAGAAAGCTCATCAGAGACTCTACTTCCTCAGGCGGCTGTGACAAGCTGGTCTGGGAAGCTCAGTCCTCACCTCCTTCTACAGGTGTGCAGTGGAGAGCATCCTGTGCTCCAGCATCAACGTGTGGCATGGAGGCTGCACAGGTGCAGAAAGAAAAGCTTTGCAGAGAGTGGTGAAGGCTGCACAGAAGTCTGTTGGAGTCAGCCTCCCCACCATCACAGACATCTACATCTCCAGAAGCAGGAAGAGAGCCACCTGCATCATGACGGACCCCACTCATACTGCACACACACTTTGTTGCCCCGCTCCCCTCAGGCAGGAGGTTGCAGAGCACTAAGTTAAAAACACTAGACTGAGGAACAGCTTCTACCCTGAAACCGTTAGACTCATGAATCTCTAACCAGGTTAATCGCTGTGGGGAAAAAAAAATCACTATAATGCCACTTGATTGTTGATATGTGCTGCTGACTAACCATGCTGCTGATTTGTTTCATGCTGTTGTATTCATTCGTACTCATCTGCTCACACAGACTCATGTTCATGCTGCTGTTGTTCAGTGTATTATTGTTTTTGCACTATTTAGTGTTTAGCGTATTCTTAGTTCATATCTTAGATCTTATTACTGTTTTTCTTTTACAATTTATACTTTTGTTGGATGTAACTGGGATCCTGTGTACACAATTTAATTCCACCACATGTATCACATGCAATACGAATGACATTAAAGAATCTTGACCTTAACCTAACATGGTGACAAATGTGCTGAAACCCAAACCAAAACCACAGTACAAGTTCCTTATTTCTTAATGTTAGAGCTCCTTTCACTCTTTAAATCTAACTTGAGAAATGTGACAGGACAAACTTGTCAAAGCTCAAATACTCATTGAGTCCAAGGTTTACATTAAAGGAAATGTTAATGACAGGGTTAACACTGTCACAAGAGACAGAATGATGTTGTTTGGCTTCCGTGGGGGTGGGGGGGTGGGGGGGTGTTATATTAACACCAGTGTACCTCCCTGTGACTTTGTAATTAGCTGTGTATGCAGCTTTGTGTGCGTGTGCAAACAACTGTTTTCGTAGATAGTACATAGGGCCTGCTGAAACAAAATTATGCAATCATCATATGATCTATGTAGAGAGAAGAAGGGCAAGTGTTTGCTATGTACCTCCACATCCACCCTTCCTCAATCATTTCCATCACCCTTCACCGCTGCCCCCTCTGCTACATGTTACCCTGAGCTGAAATTAAAGGGAGTACATATTTCTGTCTGGCAGACAGTCTTCAGTGAGCCGCTTGTCCTTGGTGAACCAACTCAAGCTGTAATTGCCATCTTTCAGTGATGGAACACATCCCTGGTTTATGTGGGGGTGCCGTGCATTGAGCTGTCTTCAGTCATAAAAACCTTGGGTTGAATCATAAGCCTGTGTCACTGTGTCATTAATCTCTGTGTATGTCAATGTTTGTGTGCACTGATGGGTATTATAGTCAACAGAAGCAAAAACAGCTTTCACAACTTTTCCGGTCCCGGCAGGAATGTTGCAACATTTGATTCTTTCTTACCTTTGTACGAAAGTTTCATGCGTGGTGATGAAGACGAGGAAGAGGGAGATGAGGAAGAAGAGGATAAAGAGGAAATATGGGTCACAGTGCTGGAGGAGACATGGGCAGCAGCCATCCCGAGCAGCAACAGAGAGGTGCAAGTGACCATCATCATCATCATGGTCATCATTTTGGCACAAACCTTTTTGTTTTCAACTAGACTTGAGATATTTTTGGTGACTTTGGACACCCCAAAACAGGTTGAGTCCCAGTTCTGTGTCACAGTTATACAAAATTGTTGTTCTTTTTTGGATAGAAGCAGTCCTCCTGGATTTTAGGAGCTTTGAAAAGATCCTTGCAACTTTCTCAGCCTTCTTTTAAAATTAGTGCAATCAGGGGAAAAAAGCTCTTTTCTGTTGGAGAGTTTTCTAAATCCATCCACTAGTCCTCTTGTGAAGGACGTCACAGTTCACCTCTCGCATCCACGACAGGACAAAGACACTCCACATGGGCAGAGAGACCTAAAAATAGAGACAGAGAGGGAGATGATTCAGTAATGTGTACCGCTTGTGCCAGGGATGCCCTCATGCACACACACAAACAAAAAAACTCTGAGGTATATTTAGTCAGCATCAAATTTATGCCCATGCCAGGGTGTGGTTATGCCAGCCTCCATTATGGCAACAACACTATAATCTCTTCACATTACAGCGAGACTGAGGGACTGAATTCAAAACACACACTGACCATAGTGATGAAGACAGCATGTGTGAGATACAGATACGCTGAGGCGACTGCCAAACCAAGCTCAACCTCTCCATGTCTGTGGCACTGCCAAGTCCAAGCACCCACCCCCACTTTCTCACTTTCTCCATCCACACTGACAGACCGTGTCACATCGCTAAGTTTCTGAGGACTGCTGCGCTGACGGTAAAGTGAATGGATAGACAAATGAGTGAGTTCAGCGCTTGTCAGAACATCTCTTGAGTGAGAGATCCGTTACTCAAGTGACAGTCTTGGTGGATTTTTAACAAGTGTTTCAAATTGATATTGGTTTAGGCAGTAAAAGATGAATAACTCGGCACAGTCTTCACGGTTTGTAAGTGTGAGAGGACTTGGTGAATTTGGTGCAACAAATTTCTTTGTTTTTTAAAACTTAAGCCCCTTTTTCACCGCTCCTCTTCAGCCCGGTTCGGTTTGGTACGGTTTTGAGCGCTTTTCCACTATCCTTTTTTTGCAGAGCTGGCCCCTTTTTTGGTCCCTGTTTCTCTGGTGGAACCAAGCGAGCCGAGCCGGTACCAAAACGCAACTTTAGAACACTGTCGGTCACTGATTGGTCAGGGGGAGGAGTCACTGGATCTTTCAGAAACTTTTCAAAAACACCAATCCGCCATTTGCAATTACTCGGAACTCGGAGCAGCGGCTGGATCCATTTTTAAGATTTTAAAAACATAATGACAACACCGTGCTCTAATTCTGAAGTGCGGGTGTTTTTTTGTGTTTGGTGGACAAAATTCAGAGCAAGTTAGATGGAGCTCCATCTGTCTCCCCGGTTCCTCTCCACCGGAGTTTCGAGCTGCTGATTCGCACAAGGCCGTTGCCCGGACCCCGGCCTCGCCTGCTCATGAAGGCTGAACCCTGATCCTGGCAGACATGAGGACTGGGACGGATGGTAGAAACTATTTTTAAAAATATTTA